CAAATAAATTTCTGGAGGAATGGCATTTATCTACTTCACAAATATTTGTTCCTTGCCCAGAATAATGCAGGCACCATGCTGGGTACAAGGACAAAAAGCAAAGACGTGGCCTCATATATTCTGTGTTTAGAAATGTAGAGTAGCTCACTGCAACTTTTGTGTGAGTGCACTTTTGTGTGTGTGTGTGTGTATGCATATTCACATGGTGTGTGTGTGTGTGTGGTGTGTATGGGGGCTCTGAGGGTGCTGGAAGGGGGACTGTAGACAGATCATGGAGGGACTAGAATGCCTTAATTTATTTAGAGGGGAAGCAAAGGTCTGTTCTCAAATTCTGGGTATGTTTCTGGCTTTGAGACAGGTGAGTTACCTAATCTTTTTGTTTCAAAGATTTCCTTTTTGGTAAAATGGGCATACCAATGCGTATACTAGCTGTAATGTTTGTAAGTCATCTATTGTAGTTTCCAGATTTTGAGAGCTATAGGGAATCATTGAAAGTTTGGGGGAGGGAAAGAGCTGAATGGATTTGGGTTTTCAAGAGATCCTTATGGAGGCCATGACTAGAAGAATGAATGGGGTTGAAGGGGTGGGTGGGTGTGGTATGGTGATTGAACAAGGCTCTGGGAGACCAGGGAGGAGGCTGAAGCAATGGTCTAGGCAAGAGAGGAGGACCAAAACCGAGGCAGTAGGATGGCATGGGCAGAACTAATAACTATTTGGGTGGCAAAATGAGCTTGCTAACTAACTGGATATAGGAGGTGAGGAAAAGAGCAGTCTGGAATGACGACGGGCTTTCTAGTTAGATAGCAGTTCCACTAACCTGGATCGGGGATACAAGGGGAGGGGCAGCCTGAAGGAGGGGGGTTGGAAGGATTACCAGTGGGGTGAGGAGGGGAGAAAGAGGCTGAGCCCCTGCGTTGGGTGGGGGGCATACACTGAAGGAGCAGAACCTCCTCCGAAGGCCGGTGTTAGAGAAAACATGAATTCTCATTGTCCTGTGCGTGTCGGGCACAGGGGTAAGCAGACTCCACATCCTGAACAAGTCAACTTCAGAATTGCCAGGGTGGGCCTGGACATTGGGACTTCCCCTGAAAAGGCAGTGATGGAGGAATTCTGCCTAACTCCTGTCCCACGTGATGGGCACTCTTCCTCCTTCTAAGGCATTCCTCCTCATTCCTCCAAGGGCAGAGCCACAGATAATCTCCAGGACTTCCCCAGAGCCAACCTCCTCATTCTGATTCTCCTATTTAACCTCTTCCTCTACAGTTTCCCAGGGACCTGCTCAGCACATTCAGGTCTAATTCTGAACTGTTTTCAAGTACAGTTGTTTCTATTTACTTATTTTTATTTTTGTGACACTGTTCCTTCCCCTTCCCAATAATGGTGGGACACAAGAAGGAGAGGAGAAATACCTAGCAGCAGTGAAGTTTGGGGTGAAATTCAGTCACTGTGGAGAAAAGGTACAGTGGTCTTTAGTCCAAAGTTCATTTTTGAGACTATGGCCTGCTGTTCTACCCACATGTGTCAGGTGCCTCCCGCAGGTGAGAAGACACAATGACAACAGGAGGACGAAGTTCCTTGCTCAGGCTTTTCTTTACGAGAAGGTAGCAATCACTACCTTTTGGTGTTTAAAACTTCAAGGACAATTCAAGGCTTGTCTTTACCCTAGAGGGGAATGGGGATATTAGGCTGGGATGATTTCAGAGATGTTTTCAGAAAACTGATTCCTTACTCCTTCAAGCTTCCTTCCCCACCCCTATCTCGTTGGTGGGGCCTGGCCATGCTCTCAAGAGACTCTCTTCCTTAAACAATTTTCTAGACTTTTTCCTCCACTGTCACAGAAGGGTGTGACTCTGGAGGAAAAACATTCCTAATATGCAAATAAATAATAAAAAACACACAGTGTGATTCAATTCAGAGATGGGCAATAGCTCTCCCAGAGCTCCGAGTCTGATGCCTTGCTCTCTCGTCCTGCTAGGGGATTAGCAAGCACTGGAGAGGTGTTAAAGCCAGACCAGCACCCAGCGGAGACCTTCTGAATGTCATCAGGGGGCTCAGGGGAAGGTGAAAAGGGATCGACTTTCTCAGTCTACATTTTGTGTTGTTAACTTTCAAGGCTCTTCACTACCTAAGGCAGCACGAGTGCTGTCAGGGTCCTCATCTCCCTTTAGGAAGCCTAACTCCACTATAGTCATTTATTTTCTGTATCCCTGCTGGGCGGTGAATTCCTTAAGGGCAAGAGCGTACTCCTGGTGCCTTCAGTACCATACACGGTGCTTAGACACAGTTGGGAGTTTATAAAGGAACAAAGTGATAACAAACAAAAACCTTCTCCAGGTGCAAATGACTTAGGGCAAAGCCTTTATTGAGGGATGGGCTGGGAAGAGAATGTTGGAAGGTCTTGGAATCAAGAGAAGATTCTAAGAAAAGGGAAGCTACAGAGATCCAAGGTAAACAGCGCTGACACAGTGATGTGGTCGGATGAGGTCTCTGTGGAGGGCACAGTGTTGTGACAGAGCTTGTGCTCCAAAATCAGACAATGAGAGGGTCAGTCCAGACTCTCATTGTTTACAAACTACATGAACTTGGGCCAAATAATTTTTGCTTTGGGGACTTAATCACCTTGTTATAAAGTGATGATAATATTCCTACAAAGGCTCTTACCATAGATTGGGGTGGAGGTCAGGACCCAGTCAAAAAAACACTTCGTTATTAGAGGGTATTATTCTTTTTCTCTATTATCTATCTGTCTATCTATCTATCTATCTATCTATCTATCTATCTATCTATCTTATCATCTATCTATCTCTATCATCTGCCTATCCATCCATCTATCCTATTGGTTTCAATAAATGTTTGAGATTATTATTGCTGTTCTTGTTGTTTTGGTAGTAGACTCTCCAGTGCCCACCATGGTTACTAGTACATTGCAACACTCAACAGATGCTTATTGGTTGAAAAAGTTACAGTAACCTGTGATCTTTCTATAGGAAAATATTCCTCCTCAATATTCCCTAAGTATATGCTACCACTGTCTGCCCAGATATTTAAGTCAAAGTCTTGATTCCTTGCTTTATTGAGCACTCATTAGGGACCAGGCACTGTGCAGGTACTGGGATGAGGTAGGTAGGGGGACCTTGCAGGGCTAGACCCAAGCACAGCTCTCTAGGATGTTAGAGAAAAAGGAAGCAGGAGAAATGATCATTTGTTCAGCTTTGCCTTCATCATTAGATGTAGCTCACAAGTGGAACATTTTAAGCATTTTTGATAACACCTTGGTGAACATGTAGAAGTACTTGAAATCCACAGCCATTTGAATGGAGAAAAGGCTACCAACACCATGCAGTATTTCCCCGGGGGTAGGATGTGCACAGGCCACCTTGTGGAATTCTCACTGGTTGTGAAAACCAGGGAGAAATACAGTACTAATGGTTTTGAATCCTACCGAGATTCTTCCCTCCTGGACAGCCTCTCTTCAGGAGATAAATGAGTGGGAAGAAGAATGACAAAGACACGTGGAAATTGACTTGGCTAAATCTTTTGAGAAGCTGACTTACAGCTGGGTGAGCCAGCTTATATCTACTGAGTGTGGGCTGTACTTTATATATCCCTGTCTCTCTATAAAGAACAGTCTCAGAAAAATTCTGTCATTCTTTGGCTTAATTGTGAGTCAATTGGCTTGGTGTGAGTGTGTGTTTGTATGGTGGAGGGAGAACTGGGCGCAAAGTGTGTGTGTACTAGTAAAAAAGTGCTTTGAATGTGGATAGAGTGGGAGTTTTATGTTTATCTATCATCATCATCATCATATTTATTTATTTATTTATTTATTTATTTATTTATTTTTAACGTGAGGAGAATGTATATGGAGGGGGAAGTGTATTTGTGTGTGTGTGCGTAGTGCAGATGGTGGGTAGCGTTACATGAACAGCCAGCATCTCAGTGACCCAGACAGTGGATTAAGACAGGAAGGGTTATAAAAGGTGATTGTTTTGCTTTAAGACCAGCACCCAGGTCTTTCAGGAGCCCTTGACTTTTTCCTCCTCCCTTTTCTTGTTAAAAAGGGATTAGAGTCCAATTAAGCCATTTAATCCCAACGTAGAGATTCACGTTTAAAAACAAGATTTATAGCTTTGAAAGAAAAATACATCAGTGCAGGTTGAGGTTGATCCTCTCGAGTTGCCACCTGCACGGTTCCAGAGCATGTTTTCCGCAGAATGCCCAGCGCGCAGTTCTTAATCACTTTGCCACACACCTCCAGTCCTTCATCTTCTTGAGGGCCCTTCACCCTAAATAGCCACATGCTGTGACAGCACTTCTGCTTCTGGAGTGCCACAGTCACCCTCTGCTTTTTCTGCCTTCAGTCTGCAACTCAGTGACCACGTTTGTTAATAATAGTGTCAAGAGCTAATGCTGCTAGGGTGCTTGGTATGTGCCTGGCATTGTGCTGAGCACTTCACAGACAGTCTCTCATTAGATGCTCCATCTGAAAAATCATGCAGGCCTGGCTTGCATGGGTGTGTGCCATGTGCGGTCACACAGGGCTCTGTGCTTAGCGGTGCCCTCCACTTGGTTTAATGCTCTGCTGTTGCCTTCTTGAAATTCTTAATGATTTCTGAGCAGGGGAGCCACATTTTGATTTTCACTTGGTCCTGCAAATGATATAGCTGGTCCTAAAAACACCCAGTAACCTATCATTTCTTTTTCTTCTTTTCCATCTGATGCCTAATACCTTACCAGAGAATGGAACAGTGAATTTTCAAATTTTGATGCCAGAACCCTCTCTAGAAAATGGCTTAAACTCCTCTAAGCCTCATCTGTAAAGTGGGGATAACAATAATAATACCTAATTCACAGGTTGTGAATACACATAATACATATGGCATTAATTACTATTATGTATCGTGGATGCTTAGCAGGTACTAACCATCCAGTTGTGCTTGTAACACGGTGTCATTCACTTGTCCCACTCCAGCATGCCCTGACCCCAGGGGTTTGTTGCCTACCTGTCCCGCAGAGCCAGGGAGAACATCTGCTTTCTCCACGTGCGGCATGGTCACGGAGGGGTTGCTGGAGCTGATTAGCACCGGGGTGCTGATCTCCACCATGTGGCGCCCCGAGGGAGAATGGACCATCCTGTTGAGGGTGTTCAAGGCTGTTGTGATGGAGAACTGCCCAGGCCCCTTCCTCCTAGACCCAGCGCCCCTTCGGAGCGTGGGTGTGTTGGTGGCTTTGCCTCTGGAGGATGTGGACACCAGAGACAGGCTCTTGGTGCGGGACGGCTGACGGCCTTTGTTCTTCTCTAGCAGGTGTCTTGCTGTGAGGTTTGGCTGGAAAGACAAGAGGATGGATGAGAAGTTCGTCTTCCTGATCTAACATGAGCAGCGAAGTCTCACCTGGGCTAGTCTGAAGCCGGTTCAGATGCCACTACCTCACTCGCCATGCCTCGGCCAGCTTCCAGCTTTGACCAATAAGTTCCAGTTTCTTTGCTATATCAATAAATTCTTACCACTCCCTTGTGAAGGGGTCTACTCTTTTCCTCTTTTCCTGAGGTCCAAAGAGTTAGCAATAAGCCATAATACTCTTCCCTGTTGGGCAGCAAGTCCTTCTTTACCCACTGCTCCGCCACATCCCAACCCTTTCCACCTAGTGGATTCCTCCCCTCCCCCTTCAGCCACCTGTCAAACCACCTTGGGTTGGCAGCTTGTGCTTCTTGGTGCCCCTGCAGCCCCGTACTCTTCCGTCACAGCAGCACCCCATCCTGTAATCACTGACTTTCTTCCCCCTCAATGGACTGTTAGCTCCTCTGCTGTACCCCAGTGAGGATGCTGTGAGTGCTTGTGGAATAATGCATGGATACAGTTGCTTCAGTTCATACATTTGATAAATGTTTGAGCCAGAATGTAAAATGCATTCAGGATCTTGAGTATTTATGCTCAGACTATCTTTTTCTAGTTTCTTCAAATACTCCCACCTTATCACCATTCTCTTTTGCTCTATGCCTCTTAGTGGTGTGCTGATAAACTAGAAAAACAAACAAACAAAACCCTGACTTGTAGAGTCTACCAATTTCTGTGGTGTAAATATCTACCAATGGTTTAATAACCAGCTGGCAAAATTCCTGAAAATATAACAACCTGGTTTCTTAATCCAGCACCAACTAGTTCTAGCACAGCCACTGACTGCATTATGTTTTGGATACCCTGCCTATCAAGGCCCCCTGCGTGTTGATTTCTTTCAGAAACCTGAAATATGTTAACAAATTGTGGGTTTGTGTGAATAAAACTTATATTTACATCATGATGGTTGTCACCAGATGCCCTCCAAAACCAGGACTGTCCCGTTGTAATTTAGAGATTTGACTATAGGGGTAAAAAGGAATGTGCCCACTTCAGAACTTTTCAATGACAATGTGCAGATGACCGAAACAGCCAAGACAGAAAATTTTAAAGCAGATGAAGTTTCTGTCTCAAGAAGCTTGTAATATTGTGGGGAAAAAATCATCAAGTAGGAGAGAGGGCATTATCATGTCTACTTTATTTATTTACTTTTTAAGTGGTTTTGTTTATTTATTTTTAGAGAGAAGGGAAGGGAGGGATAAAGAGAGGGAGAGAAACATCAATGTGTAGTTGTCTCTCATGCATCCCCTACTGGGGACCTGGCCTGCAACACAGGCATGTGCCCTGACTGGGGATCAAACTGGCCACCCTTTGGTTTGAAGGCTTGCATTCAATCCACTGAGCTACACCAGTCAGGATTCGTGTCTACTTTAAAGATAAGAAAGCTAAAGCTCAGAAGGGGTGACTTATAAATGACAAAGCCGACATGAAACAAGCAAACAAGAAAATATCCAACAGTGGTACTTGTTCTGCTGTGACAGAGAATGACTAGGGGAGGTGGCTGCTTTAGATTGGGCAACCAGGGAAAACCTGCTGAGAAGGTGACATTTCAGCTGAGACACAGATGACAAGAGGAACCAGCCCTGCGAAGATGGGGGTAGGAACAATCCAGGCAGAGGGACTGTAAGCTACTGGGCAGGTCTTGAAGAGGGAGGGGTGGGCACGGCCAGCCTGTCTGAGAGTGAGACAAGAAAGAAACAGAGAAGGCTGGCACAGAGCGGGTGAGGAGCAGGTTGTACAGGAGACCACCGAGACAGGCAGGGGCTTCTCCGTTCAAGGAAGCCTTTGGCAGAATTTAGGTAGAAGAGTGACATGATCTGATTTATGCTTTCGAAAGTTCACACTATGCTTTGGTAGTTTCTTAGAACATTAAACACAAACTTAGCATCCAATCCAGCAATCCCACCCCTAGATAATTACCCAAGAAAAATGAAAACTATGCTCACTCAAAAAATGATATGCAAATGTTTACAGGAGCTTTCATCATAGTCACCCACAACTGGAAACAACCACAATGTCTTTCACCTGAGGCACGAATAGACTCTGGCACATCCGTGCAGTGGAATATGACTCAACGATAAGAAGGGATGGACTACCTGCTACATTCAGCAACATGGATGACTCTCAAATGCATTATGCTAAGTGAAAGAAGCCAGACTCAAAAGGCTATATTCTGTATGACTCCATTTCTATGATATTCCGGAGAAGGAAAACTACAGGAACGGAAAGCAGATCTGTGGTTTGCAAGGGCCAGGAGTCAGGGAAGGATCGGACTACAGAGGGGCAGTATCACCTCATATTTTGGGGAGTGTTGGAACTGCTCCTCACCTTGATGATGGTGTGACTATTCTGAATGCCTTTATCAAAACATGTAGAACCAAACACCAAAGAGTGTGTATTTTACTGTACAGAAATAAAAATAAATGCATAAAAAGCTGTTATTCCAGACTAAAAGGAGGGAGACTAAGTAGGAAGTATTTAAATTGTTCAGGCAAGTTCTGACGGCTGTCTGGGTGAGGGACAGTGTCCTTTCATTCGCCAGAACACCTATCCCCAGGAAGAGGACGATATCCACACTCTGAGTTGAATGAGTCAAGTTCTTCATGGTCATTCACAGCAACAATGAAGTTAATGTTTTCTGCTTCTCCCTAATTGTCCTGTCCCCAGGTGAGCAGTGCCATCAGTGTTTCCATCAGCAATACTGACAGAGGGCTCCATGTGACTCTTGGTTTGCCCTGTCCTCTGCCAATGTGACTAATGGCTCAGTTGGGGAAGGACTGCTCATCTCTTAAATTTACACACATTCATTTGAAACAATATCCTTGAGGTTCACTGGGCTGAGCGAGATTCCTATCACCCAGGCAGGCCCCGACAGAGAAGTCCTGACAAGAATGGGTATAAGCTTGGTATTTGTTTTGCCACCTTTTTATCCAGGTGCAATTCAATAAATCAAATGATGCATTGACAAAAAACAAATGCTGTTTATGCCCAAAAAACCCCAAAACAAAAACACCCCACACCAGTCTTAAAAGAAAGCTTCCTTCCTTCTAATTACTGTGCAGGGCACTGGCAATTCAAAACTTATTTAAAGAGTCTTCAGCAAGTGCTAGTCTTAATGAAATGCCTGAAGTCAAAATTTAAGTACTGCTTTAGAAAGCTCAGTTTAGATTCCACGTAATTTTTGAAAACCAGGTTCCTGGATTAGAGCACCTGCTTGATTACCCTTTTCCCTCCTAGCGATTAGGAGAACAAATGAAGCAGTGGCCAGTTTGGTGATAATCTTGAGGATTCTTTTAAACACCAATGTTAGAGGTGAAGTGGTGAGGAGAGTATCCAGATGAATAAATGTAGAAGTTTTGGGGAATGAAGGGTATCAGAAATGGGTAATAAAATCATTGATGTCTCCCTCCTCCCCCCACCCCCCACTCTGAAGAAGCTTCTTGAAGAACCACGAGAGCTCTGATCTGCAAATCAGCACCACCTGTGTGTCCAAATCCAGGTCAGTTGTAGCTGACCTGTGTCCTTAGCATCTTAACCACTTGAATGCTAACTTACCAATAACTTGTCCCCTTCTCTGATTAATTATACAGGTGGACTAAAAGTCTCTGAGAACCTTTGCTGAAAACAGCCCATATGATCTTTGAAACACTCATGGGTGTTGGAGAACATGTATTAATGGAAAAATGGTTTTCTCTTTGAAGGTTCAAGTGTTTTTGTTGGGAAAACTATTAAGTAACACATGGCTTGGGCTGCTAATTATGCTGTATGGTAGATTTATAAAATTGTTTACATTAAATATTTCAACATGGAGATGAGTATATGTATCAGAGATTATAATTTTGGATGGCTTTCCATTTTTACTTCATATAATGAGATTGCAGCTGATGCAAATACACAGCATTTTTTTAAAAGTATTTTTTCAAATTATTAATAAATGAGTTATCATGAAAAAAATCTTAACCACTGTCTCCCAGTCAATGTAACGGTTCCTCTTCAGCCAAGGTTGCCTGACCCAGCAAATGGCTCCACCACTAACCTAGGCACACAAATCAGAAAGGCCACATGGTCCTTGGCCACTTCCCCTGCCCTACTCTGTCGCCTCCAAGTCCGGTGGATCCACCTCCAAAAGGTCCTTGGATCTGTCCGCTTGTTTCCAATCTATTGGTCCAAGCCACAGTCACCTTCTCACTGGGCCATGAAGTAGCTCAGGACAGTTCTTTCTGTTTTTTTTTTTTCCCCTCTCCTCTCTTCAAATCATTCTTCCCACTGTAGCCAGAGAAGTCTTTAAGAAACCCAGATCTCATGGAATCATTGCCTCTCTTAAAATCTTTCAATAGCTTCTATTGACTTCTGGCTTAACCAGAAGTTTGACCTCATGTCAAAGACAGCCGTACTCACCAAGTATTCTATGTACTCCCCTGTACTTCTCAGGTGACCTACAGACAGGTAGGGCTATGTGACTGGTTCAGGCCCTTGGGCTATGAGTGGGAGTGACAAGTGTCACTTCTGAGCGGAGGCATTTGCTGATACACAACTCACTCTTCCCCAGTCTTCTGCTGCCGCACACTAGGGGGTGAATGTGCTGCAGGTGGTATGACCACAGGATGGCCCAGCCTCATCAGTCTGGGTTCCTGCGTGCCTTGTGTGGCTAGAGCCTACCATTCTTCTGTGTTGAGCACATAATGTGGGTGAGAAATAACTTTTTCTTTGTTAAGCCCCTGAGATTTGGGGGGCTGTTGATCACCATAGCAAAACCTAGCTCATCCTTGTTAAGACAGGATGGTTTACAAAGCTCCTGAATCTCCCTCCCATTTATTTCCCTGGCTTCCTTTTTTCATTACTCTCTTACTCGCTAAGCTCTAGCTCTAATATTCTTTTGGTCCCTTGGGTATATCATGCTTCCTCATCCTGCAGGACTTGTGCACATGTTACTGCATTCCCTAGAACACTCTTCCCTCTGTCCTTATCTACATAGCTGCAGATCAACAGTCAGATCTTGGCTTAAGAGGCATTTGCTGACCACCAGACCTGAAAAATTGCACATCATACCCTCCCTCCTTGCAAATCTTTCTCTACTTTATTCTTTGTGTCATTCATCACACTTATAACTGCTAGATTAATGTCTGACTTCACAATCTAAAAGTAGGGCCCCATGTCTGTCTTGTGTCTTTAGAACTTGGCATAGGAGAACTTGGCATAGTGACCTGACATAGCAGGCACTCGATGAAAAATTAGTTGAATGATTAAATATATGTTTAGGATGGGGGTCACACAATGGTCCATTCTCTAAGTTTTTTTCCTGGTTATTCTACCAATCTCTGAAATATTTTTCCATATTCACTTGTTTAGCAATTTGACTTTTTATGGAGTACTTGTTCTGTCCTAGACTAGCCCATGAAGTCCAAGTAATATACCCACCAGGTGTTCAGAGAAGAGATAAATGAATGTTTAACTAGTTGCTGAAATTTTATGGAGAAAGTGGGTTTCTATCTGAGCCTTGTGAAATAGTGAAATTTGAACAGGTAGAGGGGGTTGGGTTGGGTGTACCTGGCAGGGCCCTCAGTAGAAAAAGCATTGGGAAGGAGAAAAAGCATTGGGAAGGAGAATGTATTAGCCATAGAAGACCCAGCTGTCTGGACCCTTTCTCCATCCCTCCCTTCCACTTCTCACCCCTTCAGCGCTGACAGAGTGGAGGGGGTATAGAGAGCCGTGGAAGCTGGACAACACCATTCACTTCAGAGCCTGCTTTAGCTCTTGTGAATGAAAGAACTGGCTCCTTCTCTCCAATTACGCCTCTGTTCTGTTTCCACCCCGCTCTCCTGGAGGGCAGGGAGCATGCCTTTTATTTCTTTCATAGCTTCCCAGTGCTTACCTTTCATGCATTATGCCCAGTAAGCACCCACTAAATGTGTTGAGCTAATGAACCCTCTCTTTTAAATGTGTAAGGACCTGCTTCAAGCTCAAGTGAGGCTGAAGGCTACAGAGGTCAGGGACTCCAGGTAAATAGCCTACATGTGATGTGTGCTCCTGTCAGAAGATTTGCAAAATACAAGCCAGCAGAAACAATGAAAATCATCTAGACTCCCACGACCTGGTGATCACTACTGTTAATGTTTTGGCATATTCCCCATTAGTCCTTGATCCATTAATATATACACATACACATTTATAAAGCTAGTTTTATGTAGTTTAATTTGTTTCTTTTTATTATGGTAAGAAACATATAACACAATTTATCCTATGAACCATTTTTCAGTATACAGTTCAGCAGTGTTAAATGTATTTACATTGTTGTGAGACAGCTCTCCAGAACTTTTTTATTCCCCCAAATCTGAAACTCTATACCCATTACACTTTATTTTACTTAACGATAAATCATAAACATTTTCCCATAATACCAAATACTCCATGATACTGAACATTATTCTCTAACATTATTTTTAGTATGTGTATATTTTTCCATCAACATTATATATTTTAAATTTTTAAAAATATGTTTATTGATTTTAGAGAAAGAGGAAGGGGCGGGGAGAGAGAGAGAGAGGCATCGATTGTTTGCCTCCCATACGCACCCCAAATGGGGATCGAACCCACAACCTAGTTGTGTGTCCTGACCAGGAATCGAACCCCCAACCTTTTGGTGTATAGAATGATGCTCTAACCAACTGAGCTATACTGGCTAGGGCCATCACCATTATTTTTTAAAACTAAATCCTAAATGTTGTTTTTTTTAGATTATTATGTTTTTAGATTATTTCAGTTTTTTTTTACCATTATACACAATGGTATGGCAAACATTTTTGCACATTTTATATATATCTCTGCATATTTGTTTTAACATTACTTTTCCATAAACTTTCAGGTGTGGAATTGCTGATTCAAAGGAGATGCACATTTATAACATTCTTGATATGAATTTGAGTTTGGATATGACAGATGGCACCACTTTATATTCCTACCACCAAAATGAAAAGGCCCATTGCCCCACACTCTTGCCAAAGCTGGATATTATCATCTGGCATCTTTTCTTTAGAGTCTTTAGTTAGTTCTTAATAAGCCTCAGGTTAAATAGAAACGGCTCTCAGGAATCACAGTGGTACACGTGCCTTTCTGAGTAAGTTTGAATCAGACGCAGACTCGATACGTACCTCAACAAACAAGATGGGGAAGATGCCTATTTTATCCCCTAACTTTCCTTCTGCCCAGTTTTCATCCACTCGGCTGATGACAGTGATGATGTCATCCTGAAAGAGAGAAAGTCTCATGGTCAGCGTTTATCCTCGGTTGGCAGGTGGTGTCTGCTGAAAGCTCTCCGTGGACGTCAGCACGGAGTTCCAGAGGCAGCTCTTCTGTAACTTATTTACAAAGTTTTCCTGGTAAATGACCTTCCTCCATAAAGGGCAGGACTAGGATCACCAAGACATGAGAGAGACAGAAACAATTTGGAGCGTCAATGGACTCCAGCAGGAAAACTTAAAAGTGTGTCTAATTTTCAGTCACCAGCAGAATCTGGGCTTTTCATTTAAATTAAGCTGATGGGGAAATCAAGGTGGAAGTCATAGGGAGAAAGACTTATTATGTCTTAGCAAAAGGAGGAATGTATTTCATTCTCATTTGGGGGACTTTTCAGAACCTATCAGTGTTTAATGGATCAAATGTAAAGTGACTTTTAATTAAAATTTTTCTCATTACAGAAGGTCACAGGTAGATTTGTAGAAACACTTGAAAATACAGATGAGCAAAACAAAGAAAAAATTCTACCACAATATAGGTACAACCACTGGTAACACTGTGGGTAACACTTTTTCCCTTCAGATTCTTTTCTATGAGGATAAAACATATGTACATGTACATATAACCATACTACTTTAAAAAATCTTTTCCAAAACATACACACATGAACATGATAAAGTACATAAATTTGAGATATAAAACTTGATGAATTTTTACATCGATTAAACCCACGGAGCCCCCACCCCGATGGAGAGTACAGAACACTGCCAGTGTCCAGAAGGCTCCTTTGTACGTACCCTTTTCTATCACCTAGCGAGAGCTAACCACTCTCCTGACTCCTAGAATGGATGTTTATTTTGCTTGTCCTTGTACTTCACACAAATGTAGGATGCACTGGCTTTCTCACTAAGCATCCTACGAGGGACACCTGTCAGCATCTATCCCTGTTTGTCAGCCTAAACCTGAACAGCCACCCACTGATCTTTTTGACCTTCTGATCCATGCCCCTGAGCAATTTAAATGAATCCTAATCTAAACTCATTCACTGCGTTGGGTCTTTTCTGAACTCCTCTGTCCTTATGACACTTTGCAATTACCAATTTAAAGGCTATATTTCTCTGATGCCTATCTGCCCATCAGAACATAAACTCCACATGTGCAGGTCCTGCATCTGTTTTGTTCACATCCATGTCCCCAGCACCTAATACAGGGGCTCCCCTTTAGGAGTCGTCAATACTTTTGAATGCATGCATGCATGAATAATTGAATGTGTGGATAAGTCGTAAAACTTAATGAGCTAGAAAACACCAGGGAAAGATCATGTGTTTAATTTGGATATGCTGAGTTCAGAAAGACCACGAGATTTCCTAGTGCAGTCTCAGCCTCCCGTATTCCTCCAGAATAGATCGAATTCCTCTTCTGGTTCCTTGTCATAATTTCCCCTTTGTGTCTGTGCCTTCCCCTACACTGCTGACTATGCGAAGGTAGGGACAGTGACTCATCACTTTATCCCCAGTGGACAGCTTGGCACATGGATGGGCTTCCCGAATGAATGAGCTGGTGGAGTTAGTGTCCTGGTTTGCAAATTCCCAGAGAGGGGCAAAAGAAACACCCCCCAAACAGATGATGCTTCCTGCCTATGTGCCCCGCCAGCGGTGTCCCCGGAGCCCAGCGTCTAATGCCTGGCACACAGTGAATACTCAGTAAATGCTGGTGGAATTGAACTGGCCTTCCTCTAAGTGTTGTTGAAGTATAGACTTTACAGTTTGGGCTGCAGAATGACCTTCCCCAGGGGACAAAACAATAATGGTTAGTATTTCAAAATATGGAGGACAGCGAGGTCATCTAGAGTGAGAGAATCCTAAGTCAGTCTCACTTCTGGTAGTGGCGGAATAAGAATGTTTTACAAAACAGAAGGCCTTTCCTGAGCCATTGTAACAGTGCCACTTCATGTATTTGATTTGTCATGAGCAGTGGAGAATAAAAATCACCCCATCTATGGTTTATAAGAGAAAATGTGAATGTTTAAGGAATAATCAATACTGAACACAGAGAATTAAAATAGTCTAGACTTTAGTAGAAGGGTGAAGGCAAAACATTTTCAGGTAATTAATGTCCTTGGAAAATTTATCTTGTCAGGGGTTGTTTATGTATAGAGGCATAATTATGTTATGGTGTGTGTTTTGAATGCAATGTTTACAACAAAACAGACTGTTGTAAGTGAGAAGAATTAGGTGATGAGAACTTGGTCGGCAAGAATACCCTTATAGATACATGATAAAGAGGTAAGAACTCTTAAGTAGTTTTGCAAGCACACTGTCAAATTGTGTTTGCAATTTTCTGTCCACATGTCTGCTTCTCCCCCTACTCTGAGGGCAGGGACTGTGACTTACTTGTTCATGCTGTATTCCCAGTGCCTGCAAGGAATAGGTGTTCCAAGTGACTGTAGAGTGAATGAATAAATGTGTAAATACTTATTTCTGTATTGGCAACAGAAATGGCTTACGGATTTCTATCAAACTGTTCTTAGAAGATTTCTCCAGTGACTTCATGCCTATGTAGTTTGAATTATATACACATATGACATATGTAAGCACATATGTGTATGCATACACATGTACACTTATAAAATATAGATAATTTTAGAAAAATAAGCAAACAGCTCCAGGCTCTGCCACAGTCTCTACGTGTTCACTAGTGGCCTTGGTGGCAGCCCAGAATCTTACCTTAAGGAAGGTCAGGCAGTCCTGGTTGTCATTCTTGTCCTTGTTTCGTAGGTCAAAATTGTAGAGAGCCCGGCAAAGTGGGGGTGGCTGGGGCAGCTGTTTGATGACCTCCACAGAGCTGGCTGGGAAGAACCCATGGGCTCCGTTGATCTCCCCCTGGTACCAGTTCTCATCCAGCTGTCTCCGGAGGAGGATGACATCTCCTTTATTAAACCTCAGGTCGCCGGGATTCTGCCCTCGGTAGTTGCACAAGGCCTTTGCTCGAGGCACCTGCAGCGGCACAGACCAATGAAATGTGTGCTTATTAGCTTAGAGCCTGGGGGGGCAGAATGAATCACATTCGTAACAAGCTGCTGAGCACTTCCAATGTGCTAAGTGCTAAGTGTGGGTCATCTTGTGGATCTGTAAACATTGAATGCAATGTTTACAACAGAGTAAGATTGTTATGAATGAGTAGAATTAGGTGATGAGTTATACGTAGAATTATATAGTAGAGTTACATGGTCTGTGGGTCATGTCTCTGAGATGGACACTCTAATCACCCCCAGTTCTAAGTAGGATGACGGAGGCATGGATTGGCTTGATAACTTGTCCAAAGTGACACAGTTGGGAAATGGCAGGTATGGGATCTGAACTCAGGCCACCCGAGTTTAGAGCTCCTGTTCTTAATCACTATGCAGGGAACAGGATTTGGGACTTAACCCCAACCACTGTGTGAACTTGAGTGAGTCAGCGACTCTCTCTGGGGCCTGAACACTGGTTTTGAATCCTGGTTCCTCCTCTTTCCCCTTGTGTGACCATGGTCAAGTTATCTAATCTTTCATAAACCACATTCAGTTATAAAATAGGGTAGTAATAGAATACTTCATTGGGGTAGTTGTGAGGAGCATTCATAATGCTTTTAGCATATTGCTTGGGACCCAGGATGTGCTTAATAAATGGCATCTCTTATCATCCTCACCTGTAATGGAGGGCTAACGATGCCAGTTCTACACATTCCTCAGTATCAATGGGAAGAAACTGAGCTGAAAAATCTATGCAAATAGAAAGTGTTGTATGAGGGTGATGCAATGTAATTTGTCTTCAGCCTTCTCTAGAAACTGTAAACCTCACAAGTGTTGTCATCATTAGGAGAACAACTGACACACAGAAATCATTAATCAGAAACCAATCATTCATTTAAAAAAAATAGCTAAAAAAGCATCATTTGTCAAATCTGTTGTCCGTCTAAATAATTATTTCAGTCAAATACAAGTTTTTTCTAATAGAAACGGGTTTCTCCACACAGAAATGGCCTCACTCTGGTCTTTCTGAAGTCAGTGGAGCAAACTGAAAGTTCTAATAACTCAGGTTTAATAGAAAACCCATCAGTGTCACCTGAAATTGTTTTTGATTTTGTGCTTTTCTCAGCACTGGGGTGAAACAGTCCCTTCTCCTAGGGATAACCTTGCTATTTATACGGGGGTATAAGAAGGCATTAATTCAGTTCCTCAAAAACTCCTTGAGTCTGCAATGCTTATTTGAAAAAGAATTTCAAGCAGTTCGGGGTAGAGACAAGACCTGAACAGCATCATATTGCTGATGGATGGCAGAGCAGCGCTTTTCTGCGAGTGTCTGGGTACCATATGGAGAGCCCAAGAGGGCAGAAAACCACAGGAACACAGCTCATTTTCAGGAAACCGCGAGCAAAGATAGCATACTAGGAGGTTTATTTGGTACAGCATTGTGGGTAAATGGAATTGGCTGAATAAATTATGATGTACCCGTATAATGGCATACATACCCTGTGGTTATTAAAATTGATGATGTTGATCTATAATTAATAACATTGAGTTACTCATAATATACTTTTAAATAGAATGGGTTAAGACAGTTGTGTAGACTAGGCTTTCATTATAAATGCATATATATATGCATTTATATATATAATTATGCATTTATATTATATATATATATAATTATTTTTTTTTACTTGGGGAAAAATGCTAGATGGTTATTCACCAGTATTTTAAGAGTGGTTCTTACAAAGTGGCAAAATTTTTAATGTTAAAAAAGTTGTTTCCCTAAGTACTTAGCTGTGTTTTCTAACTTTTCTACAATGAAATGATTGTATTGCCTAATACAATTGGATATAAATAAATAAGTAAAACTCAGGGATAAGAAGGAGAAGGCATGGGGGAATTTAGGAAGAAAATAAGCCAAGCTAAGTAGGGTCAGCAAACCATGCAACCAATGGTCCTCACCTGAAAAATAAGCAGGTAGATAGATATGGGATGAGAGGGAAGATTTGTGGTGAATGATCTGAATCTGCCAAACTCCTAGGGTTGGCTCTAGCAGGGAATAATTGTCCCTCCATATTCCTTCTCCCTAATTTTCCATTGAAATAAATCACATTTTTTTTCTAGTTACATGACCACTTAGAACAGTAGTCACATTTTCCACCTTCCCTGGCAACTAAGTTCTGGCCAGTGGGGTCTATGTAACTTTTAGGGAATGTTTCTACTGAGAGAGACCAAGTTTCTTTTTCCTTTCCCCCATTCGGCTATGTGGAATACAGACACAATTGCTGGAGCACTAGCTGCCATCCTGTACAATGAGGTTAAAGGGTACACATAAATAGTAAAGGAAGTAGTCTAGATTGCTGAGTTGCTACTGAAGTCCTGAACTTCTTTACTTCCAGACTTTTTTCCTGAAAGCTAAATAAACTTCCATCTTGTTTAATGCACTGTTATTTTGGATTTGTAGAAGGAAAAGGAAAGAAAGGATTTTAAAATTAAGGGAAAAAATGAAAACCCTTTGGTTTTGCATAATAATAATATCAATAGCTCATATTTGTTACTTCCTATGTGCCAGGCACCCTGCTAAGCACTCTACAATATAGTTATTTCATTTTCATAACAAACTGTGATTAGAAAACTGAGTATCAGAGAGCTTAAGAAGCTGCCCAAATTCGTGAAGCTAGAAAGTGGTAGGCTTTGGAGTTGGGCTTAGGTCTGTCTACCCTCAAGTCAAGTTCTTAGCCAGTCAGCCAGTGTTTCTCGAAAGGAAGCCTGTGGTTCGCCTGTATGAGGATCCTGACAGGTATTAAAAATGCAGATTTCTGGGTCCCATCCCTGACCTGCCTGACCAGAATCTCTTCAAGTGCAATTCAAGCATCTGCACTTTTTAGCAAGCTCCCCCAGCATCCATGTCTGAGTTATACCTTATTCTAACTAAAATGGGAGCAATGAAGTTTTGATGTGGTTTCATAAATGGCTATGCAGTTTTTTCCCTTCTTTTCTGGAAGACAGCCCGTGCAAGTGGCTTACGTATTTTAATGACTACTGAGCATGTATATAAAACTAAAATTGCAGTAAATGCTTAAATCTCTTTGAAGACGCATTAACTTTGAAACCCTGAAATAGGACTAATGGTTTTGTTGACCATAAATGACCCCGGGGCACTGGTAGACTGCCCGGTGGGAGCTGGAGAGAACACATAACATCACAACACGTTGTTAAACCTACTTCGTCTCTAGTATTCTGGCACCAAGTGTCAACTGTGGCACTTTCTTCCCCTAGGACGTTAATTCATAACAGTTTCTTTTTGTTGGTAGTTGATACATTTAGCATGGGTTTAAACTTATGCATTATTTTTACTTCACATGCCCAGCAGCGGTCATACATTCCAAAGCGACTGGACCGCTTGAGTGTGTCAGAGCCACTGTTTCACGCAATACGTATATTCAGGCCCGTGCCGCTCGCAGTGTGACTCGCAGTGCTTCCTGCGGATGATCCTGACTGCTGGGGATTTATATGGACCACGGTGACATACAATAGAGAAATGCTTTTAAACTGATAGATGACTTTGCTGAACTATAAACAATGGGTCTCATTAAGCGCATTGACCCTGCCCCCCAGACTCTTCATGTTGTCTCTCTCTCCCCTCAGCAGAGGTAAGTACTGTGAAAGCTCATTGTAAATTCTATTTGCAACGTACAGACTCTTTTCACCTTCCTTCTTTTTATTCTGGGTGACCCCTCCCCTGGGGTTCTCGGTCCTACACTGATACCTACAGGGAACACTGGCTCCCACACCATCGGGAGGGAGGAAGGGAAGGGGGGGAGAGAGAGAAAGTCAGGGGAAGAGGATTCACGTTTATTATGGTCTGGAAGCCACAGAAAATTTTCATACATTATTGCACAACTGTACTTTCCATGTATCCTCTCATTCATGTGATCTCAAAACCCATCAAAGGAAGTGGTATCCCTCCGTTTTACCGATGAAGAAGCAGAAGTTCTGAGATGTTGGTGTTCCCACGCAAGGTCACACAGCTAGTGTATGGCCGCCCAGAGACTGACTCAGACTCATCTGACTTCAAAGCAGCCTCATTCTTTCATCCAGCTGAAGTCACCTATACACGTTTCTCCCGAGTAAAACTCACCTGGGGCCCTGTTGTATAATCAAGGCGGAATAGAGTGTGAGTGTAATGTGCTCCCGGCTGGCTGCATTAGCATGAATTATTGAACTCCAAAGCCCTCACATAAAAGTTAAGCACCTGAAGAGGCTCAGCTGGTTGATTCTACCTGGTCCTCGACTGTTGTCTCAAGGGAAAATGACACCAAGTGCCACATCAGCAATCACCGTTGTCTTGTTGGGAACAGTGTTCATCACCCATAATTGTTTTCCCAGGTGCAGGCAGGATGGGGCAGGGGGGAAAGTAGATGTGGAGGTCTCACAGCCAGGTCATTACCACACTCTCTTCCCTGGTGTTTCCCAAAGAGTGAGATAATCCAGTGGAAGCTGGGGTGTACCTGAAAAACTTTCCTTTTCTGAGTTATAAAAGGCTCAAGATTCCTACGCTCTTGTAATTTTCAGTAGTGTCTGAAAGCCACAAGGACCACGCTTCTAATGAAGGGATCACGCATAGAACCCAGAAGCAAGGGAGCAGGATACTAGCAGTAAGAATACATCGGAGTCAGTAAGGATGTAGGAAGCAAAGTTACGGCACGCACCCCTTCTCTGAGGACCTGTCTGCTCTCCTGACAGGCATGTCATTCACTCTGGTCACACCACACACTCAGGGCTACGTGGTCCAGCCTGGCCAGTTAGAGTGCCCAGATGCCCCTGGCACAATGCTTGGTACAGGTTAGGCATGTGCCCCACACAGGGCTGATTAGAATCTTCTTTGAAGTTTGATATATAGAAGCTAAAGACAGACTCTTATTTTTGGATCATGAGCCTTGAGTGGTAACCTGTGGACCATCAGTGGTGGTATTTCCTAACTGATAG